TTTAAAGGGTTAATGCAGCGCTGCTGTTGTAAAGGCTCACCTTTCAGCACATTCACTTCACCAAATGCACCTTGTTTCTTTTCCTCACCTTTGATTGGGTGTGGTGCTTGGCCTTAATTGCACTCACCTGTCACTCGTTATATGGCACTCACCTACCCCTCACTCTTTCTTCACTCCCACATGGGGCGGCAGCTGAGGTGAGTTTCTCTTTGAGTCTCCTGAGTTCATGCATCATTTTGAGTTACTTAAATCATACTTTGTCCTTTTTAGAGACAGCAGTCCATGTGTGTCTTTCCTTTACCCGTTATCCAATAAAAAGACAAAACCTACAAATGATTGATGCTTATTCTCATTCTAATCGGATGAGCCCATGATGATGACTACTTAAACCCTGAACCTTCCTTCCTCCAAAACAGCTGCTGAAGGTCGCAGTTATCGGCCTCGTCCCTGCGTGCTGATGACATCATGTGGATGATGATGTTCACAGTGAGGAACATGATTCTGTTTGTGCATGCAGTTTCTGACTTTTCCAACCTTCTGCCATCAAACCCAACATGAGCTCATGTTTTGTCACGATCTTCACAGCTGCAGAACAAAACGTAAATTTCCATCATGTTGTTAAAGCAGAGGTGGACACAGTCGGCACAGACACGTTTAGATTGTAGCGAAACATCTTTTCTGTGAGCACTCAGGACGTCACAGCACCTCAGGCTGCTTTACAGCATCCTCCATTTGTGACTTTCTTCACCTTCAACCAGCTGCTTCTTCTAACCGCTGCACCCTCCTGTTGGGCGTCTTGCTAACGTCTGGAGTTTGGAGCGTGTGCTGTCCTACAGACATGCATGAACAATCAGCCTGCATCAGCAGAAAGCTGCGGTTTTAAAAGCTGCCTGACTCTGAGAAACACTTGTTATCAATGCTGCCGTTGCTGTTTGGACAAACTAATGTCAGGATTCTCCTGCAGGTGTAAAAAATGATTCTTGCCATTTATCTCCATTCACATCTGTTCACCGATGCTGCACCCCAGGCTGCACTGCAGCGCGCTGTCATGCAGTGAGATTAACAGGAAGTAGAATCCCTGAGACCGTATGGGATGGCTGGATTAAAAAATAATCTCACCATGAAGAAGGTCATGGTGGAGCCTCCGTGGATGGTGCCGTACTGGATGTTGGTCTGGTCCGCCAGATCGTCCGGAGACTCGATGGGCACCTCCATCCTCTGCACCGTGAGAAATGCTGCCAGGTTGGCCGTGTAGGACGAGATGATGATGAGGGTGAAAGCCCACCTGAGGGAGGAGAGACGAAGACCTTTATGTTTTTTCCCTGCAGCACAGCCCCACTCTCCCCGCTCGCCTATCTTCATTAAGAGCTGAGAGAGGAAAACGCAGCAGAGAGACAGATGGAGGGCACTGCAGGAAACGTCAGGAGTTTTAGGTAAAAATCATCAACCTAAACATGAACTCGAGCTGCAGCAGAGACGAGCAGGACGCCTCTGCTGCAGAGGAAATGAGGCGGAAGTGATGAGCAAGGGAATTAGGGCGGGGGGAGAGAATTAAAGAGGAGGAAGGATGAAGCAGAGCAGAAACGAAATGAAAAGCAGTCCAGCAAATACAGGAAACAGACTCGGGGCTCTGGTGATTGGCTCGAGGCCGTGATTACTCCTAATGTGCTGTGTTTGCACAGAGAGCTGCGGGAAGTGGAAGACACACTGTGGTGTCAGCGGAGACGAGACCCACGACTGCGACGAGCTCGTTTGCATTTACAAAAAAGAAAACACACAAAGAGATGAGCTGAGTTTCAGGGGAAACGTCAGAGCTACGCCGCCAACTCTGTGTTGGTCACCGCACATCAGCAAGGCAGCTCCCCGAGCATGCTGGGTAAAAGGATCACGGCTTCATAAAGGTTTGAGGTTATATGAACTGAGTCAGACAGAAGAGTTCAGCCCAGCGAAGAGCGAGGAGCTGCATGTGCGCTTCAGCGTGTGCAGCAGAACGCCGTGATGGGTGAGCAGAACGCCGTGATGGGTGCAGCACGAGCTGCAGGAAATGACACCGCGTCCTGAGGAATCTGAGAGTTTTAGACGCTGCGAGAGGGAAACTAAAAACGTGACCTCCCTCTGACGGCCTCTTTGCTTCCACTCTGACTGAATATGCAGCGTGAACAGCACAGCGAGCCACTCGTGAGTCTTTCTGAGTGCCAGACGAGGCTGAGAGCTGTCAGAGGAAAGATGGCCTCTCCAGTCCCTCCAGTATCACTCCACCATCTGTCTGACTGCAGCTACTGGGACTGAGGGAGAGTC